CAACATTCTTTGTCAGTATTAAAATATGTATAGTTTCAGTCACATATTATAGAATTTTATTTCCATTAGGGAAATATCGGAGCTCAGCCATTGGACGTTCGCGGCTGAGCTGAAGAATGCTCTTTCTCCGAGCGATAGAATGCGATTGGCCCTTACCTCTGGATCTGAGTTGAGTCCGTAAGTAAGAATGCCTGCGACCGCTCGGCGAGCAGGCTTGGCTGGATTTGGCCGGCTCGAACGTATCCATTGCGTCATTCATCGCGGCGTAAAGCGGATGATCCATCGACGCATGATCGACTTCTATCTCGACATCTATCTCGTTCGTCCTGTTCGACGTCACGCGTATTTTTCCGCTACGTCGCTACGTGTTCGTCACGTTCGAGCGTTTTTGAGCTTTTTTTCTACCTGCTTTAACCATCTGCTTCCGCTGCTCGGATCCTATCGAAGCAGATTGATCGATTACATTAATCGGAGAAACCGTTAACAATGGCATCGCGCGTGGCAGAATTTTACAACGACAAAAACGTATTCATCACCGGCGGTACCGGCTTCGTCGGCGTCTGCCTGATAGAGAAACTACTGAGATGCTGCCCCGACATCAAGAACATTTACTTGCTGATGCGACCGAAGAAAGGAAAGCAGATCGCGGAAAGATTAGAGGAGTTGACAAAAAATTCGGTAAGTGGCACAGATTTCTTCTTCCTCTTCCTACTTCGCGCAACTTTCCTGTACCGCGACCCTCTTCTATGCAGGTCTTCAATAGAATGAGAGAGGAGAAGCAAACTGATCAATTTAAGAAACTGATTGCAATCGCCGGGGATGTCGGTGAGGAAAATCTGGGACTGTCTTCGCAGGACCGAACAACTTTGATAAATACAGTTCAGCTTGTCTTCCATTCAGCTGCTACGCTAGACTTTGAAGCTGACCTGAAAACCACGACGATTGTCAACTTGCTGGGAACTCGCAGAATTGTTCAACTCTGTCAAGAGATCAAAGACCTAAAGGTAAATTAGTATTCTGAAGGATAAGACATATTTTTTTATCTGAACTTATTACTATTTTATCTGAATCATTCATCATTTCTTTTTTTTCCAATATGAAAAAAAAAAGAAAAATAAATCGTAGAAGTTGACCTAAAAAGAATAGACTTTTATTTTGTCAAAATTCAACTTTTTGATTCTTATATAATTTATGAGTCTCAATATTAAAATTTTTTCCTTCAATGTTTGTTGTTTTAGGCATTAGTCCATGTCTCTAGTGCATATGTTAATTCAGTGATACACAATGTTGATGAAATAGTTTATCCACCACCAGCAGATGTAAATACAATTCTCAAATTAGTTGAGACACTGGACACTGATACTTTGGATGCGAAAACACCAGAAATATTAAAAAATCATCCAAATCCATATACATTCACTAAACATTTGGCCGAATACGAAGTAGTGAATGGAGGACTCCCAGCGACTATCGTGCGTCCTTCGATGAGTGTGTTTCTGTTATCTAATGTTTACATGTCATTAACCTCTCTATGTTGATACTTAAAACGTTTTGTATGTATTTAGTAATAGGAGCGTGGAAGGAGCCGATTCCAGGATGGACAATATCGAAAAACGGACCACAGGGTTTTATATTAGGTGCTAGTAAGGGTGTCGTCAGAAGATTACCAGTTGCGAAACATCTCGTTTATGATTACATTCCAGTAGATATAGTAGTGAACAGTCTGATTGTCGCTGGTTATAACGTCGTTCGTGATAGGTAATATTCAACAAAAAAATTTTTTTATAGGAAACACACTGTATGCATTTTTATTTATTTATAATATTTAACTCACTGATATAATTTATTATTTCAGCAATAAGGAATTGAAGGTGTACCACTGCACATCTAGCACGTGCAATACTTTCCAGTGGGAATTAGTAGAAAAGAATATTAACACTTATCTACACAAGTATCCATTACGAAGCGCTGTTTGGTATCCATATTTGAAGTTTGTACCGTCACTCTTTTTGTTTAGAATCTCCGCTATCTTCGTTCATTTCATTCCCGCGTATATTTTGGATGCAATTACTCGATTGTGTGGAGGTCGTCCGATGTAAGATTTAACATTTGATATAAGAGTATAAATCAAATAGCCTTGACATTTCTTTTGGATTAATTACGTCTTTTTTTCAGTCTGGTTCGTTTACATACGAATGTTAATAAGTCGTTGGGTCGCCTTGAGAAATTTATTTTTCAAGAATGGAGATTTAATAATTTGTGTATGCTGCAGTTACATGAATCATTATCTCCCGAGGATCAAAAGTTATTTACGTTAGATATTAGATCATTGGTCTGGAAAGACTATTTTGTAGATTTAATACAGGGTGTTAGAATGTATCTTAGTAACGAATCTCCGAAATCTTTACCGAAAGCACGTTCTAAGGATAAAATGTAAATGTATTTTATAACAAATATATATTTTAATATATATTTTTATATTAAAGATTATTAATTGATATCGATATAAATTTATGTTTCAGACTTATGATTGCTCATTTGGGTTTGCAAGCTGCTCTCTTAGGTCTGATCTGGTGGTTGGTTAAAAATTTTATTTGCTACAACATGGACGAAAACTGGTTTAGTTGTACCATTAGCTTACATACTGTTTGATCAGTTGTAAATGTAAGCAATATTACATTCGAGTACTAATAATCTATAAATTATCATACTTTTTTATTCAAATTTCTTAATTATTCAGATGTAGAATATTTTTATATAAAATGAATGTTTTATATACAAATATGCATGATACATTTGCTTCTTTTATTAAACAAATATGTTCGATAAGAACATGAGATATTTTTATAACTTATATCGAATAATCTAAAATATATAAATATATAAATATTAATGATTAAAGTGCAAGCTAACATATTTTTAAATATCTTAATATCTGCTTCAGTCAAAAAGATAGATAATACGATTGAAACATTAATATTACGAAACATTAATGTATTTGCATGTATGTGTATAAACAAAATGATTGTAATACTTAGACTCTTATCTTGCTTCCAGCCGCATATCTTGCTTGCTAAATGATCCATAAAAACTAAGACACTTTATGTCTGTACACTTAAAGTTATAATATTAATATCTAGAATATTTTTTAATGAATTTTTAATCAAGTTGAAAATAATTAACTAAACATTTGTTTACAATTTATCATTCTTGCTAATTCACTGCATTGCTAATTCACCATTTTGAATAGATATTAAAAGTAAAAAAATGTAAAAATTTTTGCAAAATACATAAAATGATAATATTTTCTAACGAGATAGAAATTGTAACAGCTTTTCTGATTAGACATAATTAAGTATATAATTATTTATTGATACCAAAATAAAAAGGAAATTTTCGATATATTTTTTACATATTTGACAGATTATCAATTGCAAACAGTGAAAGACATTTCCATTTTAATATATTTTACAAATTTTTCATTATGTATTTTCCATCTTTTGTCACATTTGATCAAATTTTTTTATATCATAGTATTATCATATGCAGTTTAGTTTCATTAGTCTTCTTAAGATTTATTCATTGTATCAATGTTATACATATCTTTTGTTGAATTTATAGATGTTTAATATAAAGGGTAATATGGATATATTCAAATACTCTATTATTTAAAACCTTACGACATTTTATTACAATTTATTACACAATATTGCAATTTTATTACACAAATATGTTAATAAAAATTCTATAAATTTATAATTGATAGTATTTTATTATTCTGTTATATATAATTCGATATCATTCTATGAAATTGAATCAAGTTATAATTTCTGTGATTCTAAGATTTCAATTGTTTATACAGAAAACTTCAAATATACATATCATTCTGATCAAAATTATAATTTTCACGGATTTTAGTAAATGCTATTTTAATTTTTAATATGCTTTTTATTGCTATTGTCGAGTCGTATACGTATGAACTTAATAGCCTGTGATTATAGTTTTACGGCCTATAATTTGCAAATATTAAGTCTAACAAAACAAAATTTAAATACTATATCAATTTAGTATATTAATTTATACTAATTTACACTAATTTATTATATTAATTATATTCAATATAGTATTTAAATATTTAAATACTTATTAAAATAAATATTTAAATATTTAAATATTAAACTAAATATTTAAATACTTAAATATTTATTTTTTATTATAATTATATATAGTACTTGTACTATAGACTACCTCTATTTTCGAGACATGGATTAATTTTAATTTTAATATAAATGTTAACAATTTTTAAATCCATAAATGATTTGTTTTAATTTTAATTTTAAATGTTAATAATTTTTAAATCCATAAATGATTTGCGCACACATCAATGACGATAAAGAAGCTGAATATATTACAACATTAATATTTATTAGCGATTACTCTGTTATTAAATGCAACTTAAGTTACATCAATCGAAAAATAATTATTTTATGAATTTAATAAGAAGAATTTTATATTACATTTATTATATAATAACACTATTATTTTATTCATACTATCATATTATTTTATATATAAAGCTATGTAATCTCTTTGTTTATTTAGACACTTTATATTTCTCTTTTGTTTTTATTTTTAATATAGTATATAATATTAATAATATTAAAATTATATATAATAAACAATTTTTAGCTTTCAGGTGAAATAAAATATTAAGTAAAGCACAGAAATAGAATATTTTTTTAAAGCAATTCTCTGTGTAATTTCATCTTTTTCCTCCTCTTCTTTAAAGATAAATAAAGAGATAACAGGTAAATGATGAATAAATGACAAATAAACGTTAAATAAAATAAATAGAAACTTTATTACGTCTATTATTTTTTTATGTATAAATTAAAATTTTTAATTTTATCGAACAAATCAGTGAGACAGATTAATAATTTTATAATTATATATTTAATAATTTGATTTCAATAAAAAAGAAAATTAGATATCCAAGATCTAATTCGCTGAATGTAGATCATTCTGTGATCTATTCGTTAAAAAATTTAGATTTACTTTTTTAACTCTAACACAAAATTTAATATTTAAGAATTTTTTATATTTCTAATTATAAATAAAAAAATCGATTGTAAAATTGAAATCACAACTGGCATCAATATAGACTTAACGAACCTATGACTCAATCAAATACTTTCTCTGAGTTGAAACAAGCATTAAAAAAAATCTTACGCTTTACACGTAATTATTCGCGCATATCGTTATTAGATCTACTATTCAAAATTTTTAATTTTTAATATATAATTCGTAAATCAACAAGCTCAAAAATTTAGATTTCAGTTTTGTTCATATTATCTATTTTACAAGCTAATCATATTAAATCTTCTATTTTGCATTATGTTATATCGATCTCAAAGATATACAATTAATGATCGCAAAAATTTATATATAATTTATATATAATCTAAGAATCTTGAAAAAAATTTCATCTACGCGGAAATCCGAGCTATCATTACTTTTATAAATATCTATATGTATCAATATTTAATATATAATAAATTACACATTGAATATAATCGTTTTTTGGAGCTAATGATTTTATTTTTTAGAAATGCTCGCAGGAAATTCTTTTTATTCATCACACGTATCGAGAATGCATTCCCAATTACATATGCATACACAAATAAAAAAAAGTACAACTTTTTCCTTGTCTTTCACAAAATATACATAAAATTGCTGATGTAATAACGTAACACAAACAATATTACACTAATAATTTATAATTATATATAATAACATAACACAAACAATATTTATTAGCCATTACTCTGTTAAATGCAACTCTGTTACTTTGTAATTAATTTGATTTACTTTATTTTTAAACTGAAGTAAAACATTCGATATCATAAAGTTGTATACAGGTTGTGTACAGACATATAAAGCGAGAGAGAGAAAGAAAGAGAGAGAGAGAGAGAGAGAGAATGTATGTATATGTGATGTCTATCATTCAATAAATGGATGTCTTTTTCTTTTTTTTTCTTTTTCTTTTTTTTTTCTTTTTTTTTTTTAATGATTGTATCTTTATTATATAACGTATAACCGCTTAAAACGTTTTACTCTTCACTGCAGTATTAGTTTATGACGTCATAAGAGTGTGAGATTATGCGAGTTTTCCTTTCACTATACACTGGAATAAATTGTTTTTTCATACTATCACTAAGATTGGATAGTACAAATTGTTGAAATATATTCTAAAAATATATTTTTCAATTCGCAGGTTAATTAAATGGTTCCGAAATTTCAGGAATGGAATTTCGATTAACTGTAATCATTAGATTCCTTGTGTTTCTTAGAAGAAAAGATTCACAGATTAACTATTTGTATACTTATTTATTAATGTTGCACAATCAAAAATTTTTTTCCATACATGTTTCATTAACTTGTGTTTAAAAAAAAATAATGATTTAACGGAAATTTTTATGTCAGTTTATCTTTGAAGAATGTAGGAAGATCTTTACAAGGTCAAATTCACGGCGATACATCATAAAAATCTTGTGGTTATAATTGTGATGTTGAAGTTTATAAAATAATATAAATATAATTTATTCTTTCTTAGACATAAATATTAATTGAGAGGTATTGTTTGGCGTTATGTACTGAATTATTATTATATTTTTTTTTTATAAAAATGCTTTTTTATAAAAATTCTGCATCCGTTTAGAATAGTGTCTGAAAATTAGGTTTCAAAGCGTGAAGCTTTATAAAATAAAAAATCAAAAATGTTTATAAGTGCAGACAAAAAATTTGAATCATCCTTTTTAAATGTATGATAATCTGAAATCTATGTAATGTCATCTAATAAGTTAGAAAAAAATCGATTAAGCAATAAAAATCAGTCGAGCTATGAAAGTGAGTGACGGAAGAGCGGTCAAAGAGATTATGGGTAATGCATATAATTATAAGCTTGATTATAATTTATGCGCAAAACTCGTTGGCGACGTCAATGATGAACTTTAACCCTTCCAGATTTAACTAAGTTTTTGACTTATCAATTCACTTCATTCATATAAAATTCCTATAAATTGAACATTTTTTTCTCTTATCTCATATCGTTCTTTTTTTGAAAGACATCAATATATAAACCGACACTGTTCACTACACCGATCTGTAAATTTGAAGTTGGGCCATTTCTCAAGTTCGTTCAAACCGTTTAATCATGTGGACATATAAATATTATCTTCTGGATCCCAGTTGCAGTTCGATTTTTCTGAAATATATTTTTGTTGTAATGAGCAAGGTGATTCTGAACTGTTACTTCCGAGATCGCTTCCGACTTCATAGTTGAAAAGTCTCGAGTCCGGTTCAGTGCCTTTTTTTACGAGTCGGCGATATCTCGAATTCAAATCGCTTGACTCCGTGATGCGGGCGTTACGCTTTGGCGGCGCGTAACGAGTTCGCGTACGGATGATTCGCCGTGGAATCCCGTGGAATCCCGTGGAATTACCGGGCGGCAAATGTAAATTTGGTACGTGAGCAAAAAATAAAATCGCGGCGCGAACACGATCGAGGTGAGCGGCTCCAGTCGGCCTTCACTGTCGCGGCATGGAATGCCCTCTCCGCGGGGGAATCCCTGAGGGAGACCCTGAAAACTATCGCCCTCGAGCCTTCACCCACCGGACACTGGCACTGGACGAAGGCGAAGTCAAGAAAGGCTCGGGAACTAACCGTGCGGTCAGCCGCAACAGGGATAAAATCATCGTCGACGACGTATCTGCATTCAGTACGTTCTGACAATCCCTGCATTCAATACGTCCTGACGATATGGAAGGAGATTCCTCCGAGTGACTTTTGACCATTTGGTTTAAATAGTGCGTGCGCTCATTCTCCCGGACGTCGGGTGCGCGGAACGTATCCATTTCGAACGTTTGAATTATAATATTTGAAAAGCAATCTTTGAAAAAGCTTTGTTTGCAATCTATTGCAATTTTAGGTATACCAATAATATCATGAATTAAATATAAATATATGTAGTATATGTATATGTATGCTAATAGTTAATATATATATATATATATATATATATAATAAATATTATATATATATATATATATAATAATAATA